CGATGTCGTAGAGCCGCGACGGAGGTCTTTTCAACCTGTCGATCGTCGTAGACCTTCTCTAGGACCAAATTCCTCGCTTCATGAACAAATGACAATAGAGGAAAGGCACCTCTTCCGGGAGCAGCAGCTCTCTTTAGGGCCACACCCTTCGTCGTTGGTTAGGTCACACCAGCTAAGTGACCTAACTAGGTCACCCATCTGGTGTGACCTATGCCTTCCGAGCGACGTGCACGCCACGAAAGGAAGTCGGAAGTGCCCCTACGCCCTCTGCTACTACTGAATATATATGTTTGAGATCTAAGATGCATGTTGGTTAGCAGATCATTACTGAACAAGGGGCCGTATTTCGTGTTAATTTAACGTGTGCATTATGTTTGTTAACATTTCAAACGTTTAATTTTTTCGTCGCTTCGATAGACGTTACGTTTCCATTCTTTATTTCCAACAAAAAATAACTGCAAAGGACTTACATCTACACTTAAATGAGCTATTGTTGAGAAAGCAAAGCCCTAAAGGGACGTAATAACTCTTTTATTGTTCGATGCTATAAAAATGGTCGACGGGAGATAATCCCGTTTCTTTCTGAACTGTTGTAACTGAAGGAAATTATAATATTTTCGAAACTTTATCATTATTTCTTTCAATGATTTCGTGCACTATAACATGACTATTGATATTGTTGTAAAAATTTAGTAAAGCAATACTTAATTCATTAAAATGTAAGATCCTGAAGAAGTAAATACAAGCGACCATTCAAGCAGAGCTAGACTTTATTCTTAAAAGTGGCCCGCGGAATACCCTGAAAATGATGATGATAAAGATGATGATGATGAAAAAGATGATGATGACTATAGTGATGATGACTATAGTGATGATGAGGATGATGAAGATGATGAATTTAAAACCCGCTAATTGTTATTTCTTGTGATTATGCATATCTTGCAGAAACAACTGACTTATTCACATCTTGTTTAAATAATCTCGCTGCGTGAACTCGCGAAACATATATGACACAAATGTGTCGTCTGCAAAAATTCCTGTAATTGTACCATTCAATTTTCATTCTTCTGTTATTCACATATCTCGCAGAAACAGACGAATCTTTCATATCTTGATCTAAAATAACAATTGAACAACTTAAACTCGCGAAACTCGTATATAACTTAAATGTGCCGTCTGCAAATTCCTGAAAGAGTGCTATTCAAGTTTCACTCACTCTGCTGTTATTAACATAACTCTCAGAAATATACGTATAATTCACATTTTGATCTCACATAGCATTTGCATGACTTAAACTCGCGAAACACATATGACACAAATGTGTCGTCTGCAAAATTGCTGCACCTGAAATAGTGCCATGCACTGTTCTTTCTTGTGCCGTTCACTTATTGTTCAGATACGACACCACCCATATACGTTTGCCCTCAAACAGCATTAAGTCTAGAATGCATACGGGTCGTGATTATCTTTACTTATTTTCTATGTACGCTTGTCCGAAAACTGGCTCTTTTTTACTAGTGCAACAAATGCCACTGTTACTATAGTAACGCGCCGGTGATTGAATGAATAGTATCATCTGAAAACTTAGATTGTCAGCTTTCAGAACAAATGCAAAATTCTGCAAACGGACACGGCCAATGTAGCATAATTCAAGGGCCATTTCAATACAGTTTCGATGAAATTAAACCGTAAGATATTTAGAGAAAAAAAAAAGGAATCGTGTTGGATTTATGAGATGTAATAGACAGAAAATGAAAATAAACATGCGTATCCCTTTTATATAAAAGAAAATACCTAACAAGTGCTTTTACATAAAATAAAAGCCCCTGTATTGCAGTAACAATAAAAAGTTACTTGAGGAAAGTATTCGGTATATACACTCCCTACGCCCCCTTTTTTTAATGCGTTTATTTAAGGTCGCCGCCGGAAAGCCCATATGGGCGACCGTACACTCAAGTCGGGCCATCCTAGAGCGTCCCGCCGAGATTTTTTCCCCAGCTTTTACTGGTGGAGGAAGACCCCAGGTGCCCCTCCGGGCATTATTTCAGGCTCGAGCGGGCACCCGGGTAGAACCACCGACCTTCCGTAAGCCAGCTGGATGGCTTCCTCACATGAAAGATTTCGACCCAAGTGAGGATCGAACCTACATCGTTGAGGGACCAGTGATCTCAAGTCAGCGACCTTAACCACTCGGCCACGGAAGCCCCTCCCCCTTCGCCCTCTGCTACTACTGAAATATATATGTTTGAGATCTGCATGTTGGTTAGCAGATCATTACTGAACAAGGGGCCGTATTTCGTGTTAATTTAACATGTGCATTATGTTTGTTATTATTTCAAACGTTTATTTTTTTCTTCGTTTCGATGGACGTAACGTTTCCATTCTTTATTTCCAACAAAAAATAACAGCAAAGGACTTACATCTACACTTAAATGCGCTATTGTTGAGAAAGCAAAGCCCTAAAGAGACGTAATAACTCTTTTATTGTTCGATGCTTTAAAAATGGTCGACGGGAGATAATCCTCGTTTCTTTCTGAATTGTTGTAACTGAAGGAAATTATAATATTTTCGAAACTTTATCATTATTTCTTTCAATGATTTCGTGCACTATAACATGACTATTGATATTGTTGTAACAATCTAGTAAAGCAATACTTAATTCATTAAAATGTAAGAGTACGTTTAGCTTCCTGAAGAAGTAAATACAAGCGAACATTCAAGCAAAGCTAGACTTTATTCTTAAAAGTGGCCCGCGAAAATGATGATGATAAAGATGATGATGATGATGACGACGATAGTGATGATTATAGTGATGATTATAGTGATGATGATGATGATAAAGATGATGATGAAGATGATGAATTTAAAACCGGCTAATTGTTATTTTTTGTGATTATGCATATCTAGCAGAAACAACTGACTTATTCACATCTTGTCCAAACAATCTCGCTGCATTAACTTGCGAAACGTTTATGACACAACTAACTGTATCTCAATTATTACTGAAATATTTGCACACATTTTTTATGGAAAACGGCATAATCTTTGTTGTAAATTTTACAATAATGAGATATATACTCGTTTGCATAAAATCGGCGGCCATGTTGGACGCCATCTTGGATTCTGAAGCGTTGTGAAAGCAAAATGTTGTAAGATTACGATTTTTGTAAAGAAGAGACTATATACTTGCTCTGGTAAAAGTTTCAAATTTGGACACAACTTTTGATTATATGGCTCTTTGCTCTTTGGCTAAATGAAAGAATAATTGTGAAATATTCACATAAGTTAGTAGAGGTAACACAAAAAACAAAAAACAACAAAAAACAACAAAACACAATCAAATGTTATATGCATTGGCCATACATAAAGGAATTGTTAGCAACAATTATATATTCATTTGTAATATGGTATGTCTGTAACGTCGATTATGGTTCTCGATAAATACAGCTTTTCTCAGGTAAACAGCCCTGAACATGTTTATAATTGCTTATGATGACGAAATAAAGTAAAATAGATACATAAATGTTATGTTTATCACTAAAATGACAAAATATGTAAGATAACCTGAACAGAACAGCTACACATTTTATTTTTCATAATGTATGCTGTCAAATGCTGTTAAAGTTAAGTAAGTTTACTTTTTCATTTAAAACTGTTTAAGCCACACAAAAAAAAGAAAAAAAATGAAAATAAAAAACAGTGGCAAATTGTTTATTAAACAATGCTCTCAACAATACCATAGTAAACTCGTAACAAACAATTTAAAACGTTTATAAAACTAAAAATTCAAACTAGAAATATCTTTAAAAAGATATTCGGTCGAAGTAAACCTGCTTTTACTTGTACATTATTTTATTCTTAATTATAGTCTCATCTATACACATGTATACATAAAAAACATTTAAAACATTGAAATTGTATATAGCAATTCTCGAAAGAATTACAAGAGACTTGTTATAGCTAATACTAAGAGGGATAACTCCACAGTCCATATAATAGAAATGTGTAATATTTACCTCCCTTATTTACGTATTCACATTTACATTAATTTTGTCACAACATTTAAATCATATAAATCAATTGCAATAGGATTACATAATTGCACATTGTCATTATTTAAAAAGTTATCTGAGACATTTAATTGTACAATTATAATAAACATTTTGCATTCTAAAAGTTTGATAGCCTCTACTGACTTTGACTTAAAAACTGCCATTATATAAATAACACATGGTTTTGTGGGTAACAGTAAAACTATCATCTCGAGGAAAATACTGTTACCCGAGGCGTAATTTAAAATATATCATATTTCTACAATAAAATTACTATGTATTTAAAGTTGTATTAACCGTTCACTCCAGGCAGGAGGTGAGAAACAGACATTGCAGACACTCTTGTTTATGAATTAAGACTAACACTTATTAAAATACATTTTATTTGCAGACAAAAAACAAACACATTTGAATTATCAGAGAAACAAACATTCTTTAAACGGTCAGTATCTGTATATATACCCCATCTCACACATAGAATGAGATATTATAACTTTGCTTTACACTAGTTACACTAGTTACGCTAATAATACTAAATAATAAAAAGGATATATGACTAATCCTGAAATGTAGTTTGTTTAGCTATTTATATAAATGGTTGTTTCTGGCTTTTAAAATCAAAAAGCACATTTTAGAACTTACTTTTAACATATGTTCATTTGAGAGTACAAAGTTTAATTTATCCTGATCACATAAATTGTTAAATGAGGCATCAATCTCAATAGCTTTTTGAACAATATTATTTCTGAGACTCTGATACAATGAGCAATGAAATAAAACATGAACTTCATTTTCCACTTCAAGTTTACAAATCGGAAACAGACGCTGTTCTTCTGGCACATGTTATTTTGTATCTGTATAAAATTATCTTAAAGCAACAACTTCAATAATTAACGTTTGAAAAACATAATTATGATGTTGTAATGAAATAATTAGCTGAAAATAGAGGACACCATGCTTTTTTATTATAAATTACACTCAGTAAAATAAAAACTAAAATAAACATTATGTATCTTTACATGAAATCAGATGTTTATAGTTGTGAAAAATCTATAAATGCATGTATAAAAGCAAAAGTCCCAACAATTATGATTTACGCATGAGATCTTCCAGAAACAATGCTTGACGGTTGACGCCATCCATGGTCCAATATTGCACCATTTATTTATTTCCTTCAAATGTGAAGGTTTTGAAGTTGTAAATAGAAACTATTATACATTTTATATACTCTTGAAGTAAAGTAATCATTGTTCTGACACAGATTGTGCAATTATTATAATGCATTGTCTAACAGTATTTGTCTTCCACTAGAAACTGTTCTGACACAATATTTGTCTTACACTAAATATTTTCTTATCTTCTGTCGAATCTGTCTATCGCACACAGGGCACTGAGTGAAAAGCGTAGCGCACTCCATGCATACTTGGTAATGAGTGCAGGGAGGAATGAACAATACACAAATAAACACTTTCGACAGGCTATTCTTATCAGTAGTTTTTCGGGTAAAGATAACCGGTTGCGTATCTCACTGTATAAATCGTATGTAAAATGGTCTGACATATGGTAGGTTTAATAGCTAATTTAAATACTTTGATGTCAAAAGATGTGTTGAATTATATACCGTGACAAAGCTAAGAACCAAAGCTTTCAATTAATGTAATAATTCGGACTTTTAATCACAACAAACTAGCGGTTTAAAAACGGCTTAATCTGTATTGTTATAGCGTAAAAGATATCGAGTTTACTCGAAGATAAGGGAAACAACTCGTATTTTTTCACTCGATATACTAGTACATGTAGTACCTGGGTTATTTCCGTAGTTCATAACAATAGTATTTATGGGAGTATTCACATTTTTCTTTCCACACGCTATGCAGGTGACTTGGCTTTTAAGACGTTGATTTTCTTCACGAGGGGTTTCTGAAGTGTTCAACATTTGAAGTTTTCAACATTTGAAGTGTTCAATATTTGAAGAGATTAACATTTGAAAAGTTCAACATTTGAAGTGTTCAATATTTGAATAGATTAACATTTGAAAAGTTCAACATTTTGAAGTGTTCTCAATATTTGAAGAGGTTAACATTTGAAAAGTTCAGCATTTGAAGTGTTCAATATTTGAAGAGATTAACATTTGAAAAGTTCAACATTTGAAGTGTTCAATATTTGAAGAGATCAATATTAAAAGCAATCAATATCTGAAATGATCAATATTTGAAGTCTTCAATATATGAAGTTAGCAATATTTGAAGTCTTCATTACTTGATGTTAGCAATATTTGAAGCGTCAAGACTTTCCAACATATGAGGTGTTAAAATAATTTTCATTTTGGTAAAATTTATTTTGTAAAAAAAAGAATAACATCACTTAATTTATTGGATTCATATCATACATACCTTGATGACGCTTCTCCAATTGTCGAGTCATCTCCTTACTTTGTTTTCTTTCTTTGACAACTTCTATCCGGTCAATTAACTGTTCAATATTCGGTGTAAAAGTTCCTGTGATTTTAAACGAATTAATTTTAATAAAAAGGATGCATAATGATTGAATGTTATACAAAGCGTAACAAATAGCAGTAAGAACGATTCAAACGATTTTTAAGAGTAATTAACGCATCAACAAATTTGTAAATACAATATATACATTTAAATGTTATAAAGTAATCACATGTAAGCTTATATTCCATCATAATCATACTCATTCATAAATTACAATCTTCTAATATTTATGATTGCCTAACACTTGGCATAAATTATTATAAATGGGCTTATAACTCTCCTCTTGTGATGTACCTGAATACATAATAGGCATATATTATTTTTAAAATTTATATTTATCAAGAGCAATTTATATATCTGCATCACCCGTCTACAATACTCTAAACTTTCAAAATCAAGCTACAATGTATGTAACATCTCAAGTAAAGGTATATAACGTTGTCAAATGTGAACATTTTGATTAAGTTTCGCGAATATAATAAAATATGGTTATTAACACGACTGTCACTTATCTTATTTATACAAGACACCTTTCTTCTCTTGAAGCTTGTTAAACTTCTCAAAGGTTATAAGTACTACTGTTAAGTTTGAATGTCATCCCTCGACAATAAGATTATTGGGGTGTACAGATTCATTTTAAGTAATGAATGTACGTGAACAAAGGATTTTCATATAGTATAATCTTGACTATCTAATATGTATAGATATTACTTATGTTTGCATTCTTTAATTTCAAGAGGTACACAAAAACAAAACATTTTCGTGCTACATAGTACAATTAAGTGATCTAAATGTTATAGACTTTATTTACATTATCTAAAGCATGTTTTATCTTAACACATTATATGTGATCCCATGCATATAATCAAATGTGCTCTTTGATAACTTTAACAAATTTACCCATATTCCTTAAATCATATACAGCTACATTTACATCAGCAATGTCATATCCCATTTCTAGACATGTAGTTTTATGTTCCTCTAATGCAGCTCTTAATTCTGGATCTCTAAGTGTCATCTGATCCATTGCTCCCTGCAGGTCCTCACTACCAACATTTTCTTCAATATTTGTTGGTCTCTTTAATGTGAACATCTTAACACATTAAGACCATTTATATAAAATCATTGTTTGTTGTTTCTTTATTTGAAAATAATGTTGACGGTAACTACATTATAATAAGTTTATATTGCATATTCTGATTGACTTGCATGAAAAAAGTCATTAGGAACAAAATTTGAAAGGCTCAAATATGGCATTATAAAGTTACTTATACAGCGCAGAATGAAAGCACAAATGGTTGTTCATGACTATAGATAATGTTTTATTAGAATCACAATAAAGAAATGAAGCATTAAATCTTTGAAAAACAATAAACCATGATACAGTAAACTCCGCTTATAAATAACGAACTCACATTCAAAACCTGTTCCTTATATCCAATATAGCGAATTAGTTTCTTGTATCAGGAGTTTTTATAGCGAACAGATTTACATATAACGAACTGATTGTTTACCATTGTCCGCCATTTTTGAAGAGCATTTGATTAAGAAATAGAAATATTAGTCATTAATTTATAGTTTAGAAACAATACCCGAGAGCGTACTTTTTGGAATTTGAAAAACATTGCTATTTCAGTTTTAGTTTTACTCCCTATCTCAATTTCACATAAAATATAATGTTTTGTTTCTAAACTCTTTTCGTTTTCTTTCCATGATTGAGAATAAACAAGATTTTCGATTTTTCCTTCCTTTAATATTGAATATCTTCTATTATAATATAAGGGTGACTTTTTAATGTAAGAAATAGATTTCTTTTCAGTTAAATCAAGCGTACTTTGCAGTTTGCAATGGATCATGCTTGCAAGCATGCATGCTTATGTTGAAAACCGATTATAAATTATTTTAATTATTTTACTCGAGCAAAACTATTGAAGAAAATAAATAAATGACCGTTTTATCTTGGTGAAAAGAGATCATGCTACAAATATCCTAAATAGAAAACTATACAAATTCATTTGAATAGATGTATTGAAGTACATACAACGATAAACGGTAAATTCGCCCGAGTTTTCATCCGTGCGAATGAAAACGAAAGTTGAAAATGCGGGATCTATATACGAATAGCCAATATTTTGGAGTTCGTTATAAAAGTGTAATTTTCTGTTGTATTAACTAAATTGGGACTTAGAAATGAGTTCCTTATAAGCGATAATTCCTTATAACCATGTTCGCTATAACCATATATTTTTATATTAAATAAAAAGGGCAAAATTCGGGTCAAAATAAATTGTTCCCTATAACCGGAAGTTCGCTGTAACCGTGTTCGCTATAAGTGAAGTTTACTGTACATAAAATGATAAACCCTCTAAAGCACTTTGAAAAAGTAATAAAATCAAAAACGGACCTCCTGATTATACGCCGAAGAAGCTAAGACAAGAGCTATAAAGTCCTCGCCTTTTCTTTCCCTTGCGTAAGGGCATGTTGGGAACCAACGGCAATGCTCAGTCCACGGGATATCTTCAGGATCCCAGCGCCTTAACCCTCCATCACAACTGAAGCAACGTACATGATCTTCAACACCTGTTGGTACCAAAACATAGAGAATACAAAAGGAAATGTGTGATGTGCATTCAAATGCAATTACGTACTTACAAAAATAGTTAAATACAGCAAACCAAAGCAAAGTTGATATCTACTTATTTAAGTACTGTTATTTAGATGGATGTTATAACTGGCTTGTTCGACATATCTACTCCCTTGAATACTGGATGCTTGAAGCCACAGGGATAGAACTTTATTACAGGTTGGTTCAAGATTTGATCACACTTTAGAGCAATGGTATCCGATCGTGATACGTTCCATACCTTTACTAATTATTATGTTTTGATCAGATGATAGGATAAAGGTTAATAACATTTCTTTTAAATACAGGCACTGGTTTCTATTAAACAAGTTTCTCTAAATGTGACATATATATATCATCATTAATCGTTCAAGTTTGTGACGTTAAATTTGTACTAAGAACAATGACGTCAATGTTAAAACATATTTTAGCATTTTAAGAAATTTAATGTTATCATCATCAACACAGCAAACACGGACATTAAACAAATAAAAAAAAATATTGAAATATTTTACCTGTACAATAAAATCCAGCATCTGCTAAACTTTCTGGTGTTTGAGATAGATAACTCGGCCAGCCAGTAAATGAAGAGAGACGGGATTCATAAGACTGATACTCTGGATGTCGACACTGAGGAGGCAATACACAGTTTCCAAGGCTTCTCGGCTAACCTCCCACGCCACCAACACTAAAACCAAACCCACAAGTAGCTAATCACAAACCTGAAACAAATGCATTTTATATTTAACATATGTATATGTATCTCACTACAAACAATTAATAATACATGTCCAGCTTCTACATTTCTAGTAGACAGTCCTATTTTTTATATTGTTTTGGTCGCGAAAATTAACGACAAAAAGAGCCGATTACCCCTATTTGCAAAATAACATAAAAAATTAACGTCAAAAGATTTATTCACTAGCTATAGTGTTTCTTCCTTCTTAAACAATGCACAATCTGAAAATAACATCCAAACGGGGAGTCATGCACCTACTTTTTTCACTATTCCAAGTTTTTTGCATACCCTTTATATTGAAGAGCTGATTCATTGCAGAGCTCCAAAAACCACACATTCGCATCCGACAGGTACTCTCTCAAAATGCAAGGGTCAACGCCACTAAATTCAATTTTACTAAATAACTGAAACACAATACTAGTCACTGAAACTTGAAATATAGTAACTATAAATATTTAGAACCTCAAATATCCACTTCATTTTCAAAACTGTCTCTTATTTGTAAATTCCACCCTGGCCAATTCGAAACTAAATGACCGAAACTGTGTACTGCCTCCTTAAAGAGACCTTAACCGCTTTCTGATTTCGATATATGCATTATTTCCTAGTAAAGTGGTAAATATGTAATAAAACTCAGCATTAAAACCAAACATTTGTTCAGTCTTCTTTGCTTAGAAGCCATTTTACCAACATGCTGATTTCGGTCATTTTTTGGCATTTTTTCTTATCTGACGGCTACTGACAGTACACACATTTAACATAGTTACAACCAAGTTTAGATAGCTGTATTGGTAGAAAACCCCTAAATAATTTCTTTCAGGCATACAAAGAATCTAATAATGATGCATTAACCTGAAATATACCTTCAAATCTCTTATCAGACTTTGATTTGTAGCTGGCGTCCCTTATTTTTTTGTCATTTTCACACTTAAAACAATTACTCAGAGCCAGAACAGCCTTATTTCCCTTTAAAACTTGCACTAAATAATACATACTAATGTTCTGAATGAGAAGAGGGCAAAAACTTTTGCATTAGAATTCACCAACATGATCCAAAGAGGTAATGTGAAATGCCAGTATTAAGCCATCTGATGCAAGGGAGACAATCCAAATAGTCCTGTAAAAGTTCTGAGCCAATTACCAAAAAAATACCCCCAGCATGTATCTAATTAGGATGTAATATGATACTCTGGCCTTAGAATGACATGTCCAAGATAAAAATTCATGCCAATAGATAACCAGAGATGTTAGCCAGATGCAAAATTTGTATTTACCTAGAGTATCATTAAGGAAATTATATACAAAGAGAAAACTTGTGATTTTATGTGTGAATAAAATAGCTGGATATTTTTTAAGAGATTTTCTAAGAATTTGTAGAAATGAGGAAACATCGCTCATCACTGAGAGGGCATAGCTACAAGCGGTCTCAGGTGATGCGTTCAAACAGATTTAAAAAGGGACATGTACCTTATATTAGTGAAAGAAGTGAAAACTTACAGAATCAACCCTCCGGAAACAGAACTTTTCAACGTCTAACTAAGGAAGATGCTACAGATGTTTATCACTTGTGCCACGATAACGATAACAATACAATGCCGTACAAACTGAGGCCTAGACCTGAAAAGAAAAATGAAACCATAAACAATGAAGTGGATGAAAATATTATTGTAAATGTCACGCAACTACAGCTGCTTCTACAAAGTGTTCACCATTGCAAATCACCAACGCTGAAAATGAATATCAAAAAGAGACAAGGCCTACACATCACAATGTCAGCAAAGTGCAAAGGTTGCAAAATGGTCACGCCAAACATCAGCCTGTCCGACACCATGACAAATACAAGAGGACCACCGACAGGAGCACTCAATAAAATGTTGGTGTTACCAATTATGAAGTCTAAAGTGGGCATAGATGATGTAGGTCTTGTCTTATCTTGCTTAAACATCAAACCACCAAGTCACACATGTATTCAAAAACATCTTAACAGTTTAAGTGACAGAGCAACTACACTCAACCAGAAATCTATGATTGAAAACCAACAACATATCAAACACGTAACTACCCTGGCAGGAAAAGAAAGTGTGGCAGACATACAATTTGATGTATCGTTTTCTCGGCGACCGAGAGGTGGTTTCGAGGCAGCACAACAAAGCTTTGGTGTTGCAATAGACCATTCAACCACCAGACCACTGCCTATTGCAACAGCCATAGCAAACAAGCACTGTCATAAACCTAAGTGCAGTCATACAGTGTCAAACTGCAAGAAGACGTACAACTCCGATTTATCAATTGCGTCCAGTGAAAGAACCCTGCTCCACCAAAGTCTGGACAACATCAGAGGTCCGGGAATATTGAAAATTCGATCAGTGACAACTGATGCAAGTTCGCAGTTAGCGAAAGCTCTACGGGATTATCGCAGTGAAAAGAATGTGGAGTTTAGTCATTTCAAATGCTTTGTTCACCGACTCAGGACCCTGGAAAAAAATATCAGGGTTCTGAAACTCACCAGTATACCAAGAAAATATTTAAAATCAATTTACATGCAGAAACTGGGTGCTAGTATCAGGGCAAGAGTCAGGCTAGAATTGCAGAATTTAAAGGCTACAAAACAAAAAGGCCACAATTTTGTACACAGAGGCTGCTTAGCACTTAAATACATCACTCGGTGTCTAAGCGGTTACCACAGGTTCTGCAGAGAGCATTCAACAGTATGCATCCATCACCTGAAGCACTATAGCACTAAATCATTGCCTTATGGTGTTCATCTCCAAATTAAATAACTGTGATTTGAACACTGTACAGGCAGAGATCAACAAAATTTTTAGTGTGGAAGGCCTGCAGAACCTGTCTGAACTGTTCAACACAAACATGTGTGAAAGTTTGCATGCCTCTGTGTACAACTTAGCTCCAAAGTCTACATGCTGGAGTCGCAACTTTGCCGGCCTTTGCCACTCTGCCACACATTCTAGGACTGTAGGACAAGGAGTTGCAACTCTTCTCCTTGCAAAGGCTGCTGGAATTAAAATGAAAAGTAGCAGCCAAATGTATGTTCAGTTGAAACAACAAGACAAATTAAGAAAATACCACACTCTCCGAAAAGCATCCACTAAGTACAAAACCTCTAGATATTTCTTGCGAAAACGTGTGGCAAGCAGGCTTCAATATCAAAATTCCCTTTATAGCGACAACCGGTCAGCCTCAGAAGTTTCATCTGAACACAATTATGGTCTAGCAAATTAAAAATCAAAACAAGTATTCTGTAAAACTTGTGATTTTAAGCTATTAATCAATTTTGAGTCATGCGTACCTAAATAGAACTTAGTAGCCATAATAAATATCTGAAAAGACACAGTTTTCGTGCAATAAATGTGAATTTATACACTTATTTTCATGTAATTACATGTAAAAGGACTACTACTAGATAGCAGGATAAAAAAAAATCATTGGCATGTGTATATATGTAAAAATAAAATCTATACTTGAAAACATGACATTTTTGCTTATTTTCATTTTTCGATTACCTCCCTTGGTAAAACAGCTGTAAAAAAAAATATTAGCATCATTTCAATGCCAAACATCCAGTTTAGGAATGTAAATTGATGTCAAAGTATGGCAAATCCTATTTCAACCCTGTTTTATAAAGTTTGAAATTCATCAACTTACCCTTAAGGAGGCAATACACAGTTTTCAAGGCTTCTCGGCTAACCTCCCACGCCACCAACACTAAAACCAAACCCACAAGTAGCTAATCACAAACCTGAAACAAATGCATTTTATATTTAACATATGTATATGTATCTCACTACAAACAATTAATAATACATGTCCAGCTTCTACATTTCTAGTAGACAGTCCTATTTTTTATATTGTTTTGGTCGCGAAAATTAACGACAAAAAGACTCGATTACCCCTATTTGCAAAATAACATAAAAAATTTACGTCAAAAGATTTATTCACTAGCTATAGTGTTTCTTCCTTCTAAAACAATGTACAATCTGAAAATAACATCCAAACGGGGAGTCATGCACCTACTTTTTTCACTATTCCAAGTTTTTTGCATACCCTTTATATTGAAGAGCTGATTCATTGCAGAGCTCCAAAAACCACACATTCGCATCCGACAGGTACTCTCTCAAAATGCAAGGGTCAACGCCACTAAATTCAATTTTACTAAATAACTGAAACACAATACTAGTCACTGAAACTTGAAATATAGTAACTATAAATATTTAGAACCTCAAATATCCACTTCGTTTTCAAAACTGTCTCTTATTTGTAAATTCCACCCTGGCCAATTCGAAACTAAATGACCGAAACTGTGTAATGCCTCCTGAGTAGCGGAATCTAGAGGAATATCAAAATATCACAATTAAGTGTATGTAATGTTTTTTTCGATCTCATCTGAATAAATGTTCTACTTTCTACTTTTCGATATTTAGTGGAAAGTAGCTTTTAAACTTATTTTTCTAAACTTTGAATTTATGCATAAAACATCCTAATGTTTTGTTTCAAACGTGTAATACTCAACTAGTTTATACTTATATTGTGTTAATTTCTTTTAATGTCGGAGAAGGAAGATTATAACAATTGTTTTGATATTTTTACACATGCTCGTTTATGTATTTCGTTTGTTTTATTCTATTATTTTACACAAACTCGCTTTAATGTTGCATGCACTTAAAAAACTGCTTTAATAATATAAGAAAGTGGGCATCCACGGCCGAGTGGTTAAAGTTCCCCCACCGCTGTTTTGTCGAATCACATAATGGACTTAGACTCTTTGGAATATTGTTATACTGTATAAGCTCCTAAAACATGCAATACAAGTTTGTCCTTTTGGACACAAGTTCAATATTTTGGAGTCGTTACGGTCGCCGACTAAACATCACTTGCTCCTCACCGCATTGAGTTTCTGTTCCATCAGGAGCACCAGGAGCTTTAGATTCTTTCATCTTAGCAAGCTATCCAGCTAGCTTACGGAACGTTGGTAGTTCTACCGAGGTGCCTGCTCGCGCCTGAAATAATGCAAGAAGTGGGCATCCGAGGTATTCCTTCACCAGTACAGCTAGAAAGTCGCCAAATGACTACAATGTCGGTCTGACTTAAATAACAACAAAACAAAACAACTTAAACAGATATTACTTACTCCTGTGGGTTCTTTGTTCTTCCTGGCAGCTAGCCTTAAAAATTAAAATGTACAAATAACATAGTTATTGACAATTAAGGATTCAATTACATGTTCTTTGTTTATTTCATTGTCAGGATTATGGCATGTGACTTTAGACGTACAATGAATATTCAATAAAAACAATATGACCATAAATATATTATTGATATTCCAAAAAAAAATGATTACTCATTTCGTAAATCATGTCTAATATCGGACATCTTAGACCTTTGAACATTACATATTTGTTAAAGAACTAAAATTGAGACATCATATATTACCATCAAACAGATAAAATATCATTTTTATTTAGTTTCCAGCGGTAGAATAAATAACTAGTATGTTAACATATCTTCCTTAGCGTACAGGTTGTTGAAATTTTGTCATTATTTCTTATTAATATGTTCACATTGTACCTCTATGAAAGCTAATGTTGCTGTTCCAAGATGGTCAAGGAGGTACAGGCAATTTCCTGAATGTCTGACATGTTCCCGCAAAGGATCGTCGCCATATGTAAAGTCTTTTAAGCCTATGCCACAACTGAAACATCGCACAAGATCCCAATTGTCTGAAATAAAAATGAATAATGAATTAAATCCTGCATTTATCCTACATAGACTGTCATAAATCTAAGAATCATCAACTATTAATATTGGAACCTCTTCGTCTTCAGATGACATATAATAAGACAAAATAAAAAGCTTTATGTGAACTGATGGGTCTTGACAAGCTATTACAGTAAAGATAGTTTAGACCTAAATTGTATTGAAATAATACATACAGTGGCAGTTATATCATTACATAATGAAAATTATTGCACATATGGCAAGCTCACTAGAAAAATGAGACATTCAGTACAGTGCTTTTGGAGCAGTATGTTTCAAATATATATTGATAATGTATAAGTATCAGCAATACTTATAACAGTAGCAATATCTATATAGATATCATAAAGAAATATAAACACAATCACGAAAAGGAATATTTAACAGAAATATTAAACAGGAATATGTGTTATGATTCAGATAAGAAATGGTATGTCCACTACCAGTTATTGTTTTATTAAAACAAATTCTGTGTTTCGTTTATGTGTTAAACATACTTGTAAAGAAGAATCCTGCGTCGCAAAGAGAAACTGGGTCAGGATTTGAACGAGTCCATCTAGCAAATGATCTTAGTATTTCACCGTACTCAGCAAACATAGGATGTCTGGCTTGGTGCGTAAGTCTTACGGTAGCTCCAGTCACACCATAATGTGGAGATGGTAACCTAGCTGGGTCTCTTTCAGACGTGTTTAAAAATCTATCTCTGACAAAATCAGTATCAGAGTTCATGGAATATTCGGTTCTAGGAGTCGGAAACGAGGCACCGTTTGAAAAGGCAATTTTACTCCTGCCTTTACTCGCTTGGTCAGAGGAAACCTGATGTGGAAATTCGTTTCCCGAACGATGAAAAGCCATGGCGATAGCGAGTCAATTTAAGTTATGCTTACAAATATTGTTTTTATTTGTTAAAAAAAGAATGTTGCACTTGTTTTATTAGCCCCGTACTACAGGTTGCTAACTCAGAAAAATCTGGGAAAAAATACATATCTCCTCCGTCAAGTGTTCTTTTCATAAGTGCAATAAGTTATATAATAAATATTTGGCGTTTATATTTAAGTACATTTCCATTCCATTGTAATGAACGTTCCATGTCAGCAAAGCTCGGTTAAAATATCTAAAATTAACAACAAAAACATATTAATTATAATATGAGAAACAATATACAAACTATACAGTGATACGATAATGCCCAAAGCCGTAGCTAAATTGAGAAAGTACGGTGCTCTCAGTATATGACCTTAAATGGTTAATTAATGGATTTCTATGTCACTGTGAATATTGACCGTTGACATTGGCCTGTCAACAATGATCACCCTCGAAAGATGTTATAATAAGAGAAATACATGGCCATATGGCTGAGTGGAGTACTCTATTGATTCAAGTAGTATGTAGTATATGTATCTACAACTTATATTCTTATCTTGTGCATTTTTTACCACACACCACCCCCACCCCCACCCCCCCCCCCCCCAGGAAAAAAAAGAACAATTCGCCTTGTTTAAATAGTTTCTGAATTTACTGTAATCTTTATAATTACTAAATACTTATTACTTACTGCATACTTCAACAATTAGATTTTAAGCTGAATTCAACTGAAAATGTATTTTGCACATCACTTATACTAGGAAAAATCAATTAGATGTAATTTTAATATTAATCGTTACTTGTATCAAGAATGAAATATAAAATGCATTATGTCAGTGCTAAGGTCAGTAGTGAAAGGGGGCACTATGGGATGGATTTTACTTTCGGAAACTTATGAGCCGGACACTATGAGATGGCTGTTACTTTCGGAAACTTATGGCCCACTTTTCAAGATAGTGAATACTATGTACTTCCAGAAACTTATGGGCCTGTATTGGGAAGTTTATGGGCCTTTAATAGATGGATAGGGAACACTTAAACCCTTATTTAGGTTAACAATATAAAAAGAGTATTGTGTTCTAAAAGTAACCTTTTTTAACCTGTGATGACATGTATATATTGATCAGTCTACACTACACTTCAAGTGAACAGATTTAAATTTCAGGAAACGTGTTTTTCTTTCAATATCAATATTAATATATTTTTAACGTACTTTCAATAGCAATAAATAAAACAATGCGTTTATATTTATATCCGTTTATTTAATACTTTTCAAAAACACACATTAATGATCAGTTTTATTATTTTGATAAAAACATTGAACTTTTATAAACATAACTTTTTTTCATGCCCCTGTGACCTAGACCTTTGAACTAGTGACCCAAAATCAATAGGGGTCAGCTAATAGTTATGACCAATCACTATAAAATATGAAGACTGTGATAATTATCTTTCACGATAATGAGCTGAAATCATACTACCATTCATAGACCCTGTGACCTTGACCTTTGACCTGGTGACACGAAAATCAATAAGGGTCATCTACTAGTTATGACCAATCAAAATGTTAAATATGAAGACATTGTGATAAATAGTAACCAAGAAAATAAGCAGAAATCATATTACCATTCAAGGCCTCTATGACCTTGACCTTTGACCTAGTAACCCAAAAATCATTAGGGTTCATCTACTTTCTATGACCAATCAATGTGTGAAATACGTAGACTTTGTGATGAATAATTTTCAAGATAATCAGCGGAAACCATTCACACATTTAAGGCCCCTGCGATCTTGACCTTCAACCTAGTGAACCTCAAATCAATAGGGGTCATTTACTAGTTATGACCAATCAATAGGTGAAATATGAAGACGTTGAATTGTGACAAAAATTAACCAAGATAATAAGCGGAATTCATGTTACTGTCCCTGTGAACTTGACCTTTTATCTAGTGACTCCCAAATCAATAGGGGTCATTTACTGGTTATGACCAAATAACATTTGAAATATGAAGACTTTGAGATGAATACATTACAACATAATCAGCGGAAACCATTCTGACATTTTAGGCCCTTGTGACATTTGACCTAGTAATTCCAAAATTAAAAGGAGTCATTTACTAGTTTTGACCAATCACTTTGTGAAATATGACGACTTTGTGATGAATAATTTTCAAGATAATCAGCGGAAACTATTTTGACATTTAAGATCCCTATGACCTTGACCTTTGACCTAGTGACCCCAAAATCAAAAGGGTCATCTCCTAGTTATGACCAATCACTATGTGAAATATGAAGGCTTTTCAAGATAATAAGCGGAAACCATCTGGTCTACGGGCGACCAGACAGACAGACGGATCGATATTAGCAAAACAATATACCCCCTCTTTTTCGAAGGTGGGCATATAATTAAGGAAACATTTACCAACAATACAGTCAGTAGGTAATCGGGATCACATTATGAAAATCGTTATCTTTAGTGATTTAGGTTGTAACATGCATAATCTAATAATAACAGGTGTGTCATTCCTTTTCTAAACATCGCAGAATTGTCGCACTGCTTACTAAAGTTTTCTTGAAATCTTGACATGAAGAAAAAATAGAAATCAACATAAAAAATATATTAAATTGATTCAAAACATTAGAGAAACTACAGAAAACGTCATTTGAAAATATTAAAGGCTTTGTTTAAAAAACAACTTGTCATTTTAGTACTTCTGGATCATTCAAAACATATATTTCCTTACACAAAAAGGCTGATTTTTTAAAACTTACGTATATCAACTGATTCTTTTGTCCATGGAAACATTAGGAATGTAACATTTGGTTTTTATTGATGAATAAAAAGAAATTAAATAATGTGATTCGGATCGCCTTAGATTCGGCTGTAACACTGCACAATATAATCAAACATGACCGTTTTTGTTTCGGCGGTTACAATCCTTATTTCCTATATTTTCCAATTAAACAGCATTATATAAACACACTAGCAATTTAAACTTCTCCTTTCTTAAAAACTGTCGATAAATTTTTTTAACCGTAAATAAACATTACGTGCCGTTTTTCATAACCTTCACCTCAGTTTAAAGCAGCACGCCTCCAGATTCATGCTAATTTTCATGAAAATTTTGAAAATGTATTTGAGTGTGTAATATTTGAATGAGCTAAAGGGAAGCAATTTACACACATACAAGGCACTTATTGACGTAAATTACCACAAAGTGGTTAAAATATACATAAATAGCCTTTACTGCGTTCGTAACGCAGTAGAAATATAGTTGTAAATACTGAAAAATTAGTCATTAATCGCACATTATATGTAAAATATTACTTGAATCTTGAAAGTTTTTACTTTTCTTTACATTTCTTAAGTTTGATTTTATTGAAATGTTTTGACTTATCGGGAGGCATGTAGCTTTAATAGAACAGTGACATGTAAACTTGGAAACCATGCTTATTTGTTTCTATTTTTAGACACATCTGTAATCTAATATCGACCAAACTACCTTTACGAAGATTTAAATCAAGTTTTACAAATTGTCTTCAGGTATTGATTGCATGAATCGAGAGGTGCTCGTTCTAGCATATAATTTTATGAAAAGAGATCAATATTTTCTTTTATATTTTATATACTAGTTATTAGACTTTGTCAATTTATGTATTCAGTTTTTGTCTTCGATATGTATTTAAAAAGGAAAATAACAGAATCTCTAAAGAGAGCCCAACATGGTAAAATTGAAATGTTACATGCTCGGTTTGATTTAGCATGTTCATGGACGGTAGTGGTAATTAAAAAACTACGGTCCACGCCCACTAGCATCGCTTAAGCAGAATTCAACATTTAACATAAACCGGTAAAGTCTTCATATGGCGGTTATCATGAACCCTTCAATGTGACACGTTACTGCCATTCAATGAAAAGCGGCATATGGTCCCCAAGTATAGAAAGATATGCGTGCACTAATCGAGAAAATAAGCATGGGTGTAATGAGCGTGACTGGATATAGCTAACAGTTTATTCCATATTGCTAATATGAGTAAGCGGCCGGATAGTTCAGTTGGTAGAGCAGCGGTACAGTTTTCTTAAGGTCCCGGATTCGAGTCCCGGTCAGGCTGCACATTTTATTCACCCAGTAACATACAAATTGTGCCAAAAAAATCAAATCTAAAACTATCACACAAATTATTTGCCTTTAAAAAAAGAAAAAAGGCTGATATCTCTAGCAACACTCCGAAGCAAGGGTTTGGTAATGGCTTGATTATAATCAATGTCTCACTGTGTAAGGTAAGTGTAAACCGAGGCTAAAAGAAGGAAGGTCTGTTTCCAGTTTGACTTCTACGGTGACACAAAGGCGACATGTGTGTGTGTTTTTATTCATCTCTTTCGCACGAGATACTGTGCCGTGGCCACGAGTCACTAAGTCGTGACAACGAGATAATTAAGTCGTGGCTACGAAATATTATGTCGTGGCCACGAGTGACTAAGTCGTGGGCACGAGATAGTTAAGTCGTGGGAACGAAATACTATGTCGTTGCCACGAGTTACTTAGTCGTTGCCACGAGTTACTAAGTCGTGGCCACGAGATAGTTAAGTCGTTGGAACGAGAAACTATGTTGTGGCCACGAATTACTAAGTCGTGACAACGAGATACAGTAAACTTCACTTATAGCGAACACGGTTACAGCGACCTTCCGGTTTTAGGGAACAATTTATTTTGACCCGAATTTTGCCCTTTTTATTTAATATAAAAATATATGGTTATAGCGAACACGGTTATAAGGAATTATCGCTTATAAGGAACTCATTTCTAAGTCCCAATTTAGTTAATACAACAGAAAATTACACTTTTATAACGAACTCCAAAATATTGGCTATTCGTATATAGATCCCGCATTTTCAACTTTCGTTTTCATTCGCACGGATGAAAACTCGGGCGAATTTACCGTTTATCGTTGTATGTACTTCAATACATCTATTCAAATGAATTTGTATAGTTTTCTATTTAGGATATTTGTAGCATGAGCTCTTTTCACCAAGATAAAACGGTTATTTATTTATTTTCTTCAATAGTTTTGCTCGAGTAAAATAATTATAATAATTTATAATCGGTTTTCAACATAATCAAGCATGCTTGCAAGCATGATCCATTGCAAACTGCAAAATATGCTTGATTTAACTGAAAAGAAATCTATATCTTACATTAAAAAGTCACCCTTATATTATAATAGAAGATATTCAATATTAAAGGAAGGAAAAATCGAAAATCTTGTTTATTCTCAATCATGGAAAGAAAACGAAAAGAGTTTAGAAACAAAATATTATATTTTATGTGAAATTGAGATAGGGAGTAAAACTAAAACTGAAATAGCAATGTTTTTCAAATTCCAAAAAGTACGCTCTCGGGTATTGTTTCTAAACTATAAATTAATGACTAATATTTCTATTTCTTAATCAAATGCTCTTCAAAAATGGCGGACAATGGTAAACAATCAGTTCGTTATATGTAAATCTTATCGCTATAAAAACTCCTGATACAAGAAACTAATTCGCTATCCGGATATAAGGAACAGGTTTTGAATGTCCCAGTGAGTTCGTTATAAGCGGAGTTTACTGTAGTTACGTCGTGCGCACGAGATGAATAAGATTACATTATTTACATGAATTTTCCTTAATAACAGAACAGAACAGAACAGAACAGAAATTTTATTAAGACTTGTACAAAGTACATCATCTACAATACATTATATTCACATATATTTTAGCTGCATGAAAATTTACAAACAAAATCTGGATATCACATTTTACGTATTCAATAGTTTCATAATAAAATATAAGTAGATAAACTAATAAACAAACAAACAACATGCATATAGCTATAAAAAAGATGTGCATTTTCTGTATACTTTTATAGATAATAACGAGACATGTGCTTTAGTACAAGCATGTCCCTACTTCACCTGCCTGTAAACTTAGTAACTCGTGGTCACGACATAGTAACTCGAGGCCACGACCTAATTATCTCGTGGCCACGACATAGTATCGCGTTCCCATGACTTAGTAACTCTAGCGCACGAAATAAATAAAAACACACACATGCCACCTTTGTGCCACCGTAGGTTTAAGTTTGACTTCCTTTAAAATGTGCAGGGAAGTATTGAATATACGAATAGATTTGATTGGTCATTTTAAAATAATTACAAAAATAAAATCTGGGAATCTCATTGGTCATTCTAAAGTACAATTAAAAGGAAAGTTCTTGTTAATATTCTAAGATACCTAAGGATAATTCTTGCCATCATGAAATAAAATGTAAAGGTTAGTTTTAAAATAAAATTACACGATAGTTCTTAACTTTCAAGTTAATTTATTAATATTTAAGTTCTGTTTACAATACTTTGTGCATTCAGTTTTCATAACATTTACTAGCAAACAGTTTTCAGTTCAGATTCAAATATGTAATAAACTTGAAACTTAGTGAACAGTTTATTTTACGTAAGAATTTTACAAATTATCTGAGTTTTAATTTGTTTCCAAAATAACGGGAATAATATCAGAACTTATCAGATACCCTTAGTTTATTATGTTCAATAAGTGTCTAATATATTATATGATTAAATTTATTGATGTGTTCAGTTGCTGTAATGTTTTAATTTTCATATATTTTTTCGCATATCAACCAAGTATTTTTAAAAATCATTCCCTACCGACTGCATAGATGTTGGTGTTATAAATTGAGATTTCTTACCGAAGCATGACAAGTTCGTTCAGAAACACGTTTACATCTTTTGGTGTTAAATGTTACAAGATTAATAACCCTACACGAAATTATTATTTCATCGTTATGCCAGCTATGCTTACATTTTTATATTACCGCATGGAAAACTAAAAACTAACATATCCAAGTAATATAGTTTTACTTCGGCCGAGTGAGATACTTCTTATTAATTTTATCGCTTGGGTTTTTTTTTACGGATTCTCGTTTGCTCTATTTTGTAATGAAATCGGTGAAGAAGTAGGATAACGCATTAATGGACAGTATAGAAGCAAGAGAACGCATAAATTGACGTATAGAAGACTTTTTGGTTAACCACTATATATGTGGACATATTTTAAATGATTGACAAAGGACATATAAAACAAAATGATATCAAATGACATTGCATATTAAAATGGTGTCCCTGACACTGCTATTTTTTGTATGCATTGTAACATGATAAAAATCTGAGGTACATTACACTAAAATCAAGTGCTTTGTTCACCTGATGGGGCAAATCATTTCAACGAACGGCTTTCTTTGCTACAGTTACATATCCACTATATTACCTTTTTCTTCTGAAAATTGCCGGAAATACAAAATCCACAAAATAAATACGGTTTACCAAATAATAATGATTAAATTAATAGTCATTACTGATCATTACGCTAATTTAACCTTAACAATAATGTTCATTGCCTGTGAATTAAGTAATGGATACAGTACGAATTAGTCTTCGAAAGTTTTCTTCTTAAATAAGATTGCTAGCATAAGCAGCAAATTATCCAAGGCGGAGTCGATGATAAATTGTTGTTTATCCTAGCGCACAATTATTGTCTTCTTTATGTATGTAATCAGGCCCTTTGAAGAAAATACGAGTTATTGTATCTGACTTATACAACAATTAAACAGATAAAAAGATAAACACATTTGCAATTAAAATACTTAATTGAAAATATATATGCTTTCTGTTTGAAAATAGAAAACTATATAAAAACATTTGAATGGCTTTTAGGCAGTAAAAAGTGTACTAGGCAAACACTATTCGCACGGAATTATAGAACTCTTATTCCAATCGGGCATAATATACTTTCATTCATTACAAACAATGTAAAATTGGCTGCAATTTACAGAGAGTCATCTTACCTAGGTCGATTATGATAGATTAAATTTGTTCAACATTGAAACTGACACTGAATATTTTGTGTCATTGCAATACTGAACACCCCATAGTTGGTTTCCTTAATCATATATTAAACCCCTATAGACAATGCTAATTAAGATAATTTGACCGCCGCCATTTTGTTATCACGTGACTGTCCGCCATTACGGGAGTGAAAAATTCCTGATAGTCTGAGAGTAAAGAAAATC